TAAAAAACTTCCATTGTCATTAACTTCCAATTGAGATATTGATAAAAAGATATTTATATTTCAGACCAAGAATTCTATCCAAGAATAAAGGAAAGGAATAAACTTTCCTAACTCTATGCAAAGTCCTTCTCTTCTTAATCTCCAAGCACAGTAAAGGATATTTCCTATCCTGGCATAGCTCATGTAAATTTAAAATGACGTTCGCATCAGAAAGTTGTTATATCATTACTCGGCAGTTCTACCATGGAATTATGTAGGACCCACGTGAGAATTTAAATGCCAGTGCGTACAACCAGCAATCAGAAAGAAAATCACCAGAAAATATGTCCAATTAAAGCTCAATTCCAAGTCCTCTCGTATGAGCGGCCAGAAAAAGAAAAACAAAAAACAGAATAAAATCCAAGTGCCGGTGTTTACTTAGAGCTTAATCCGAAGTAATTCCATAGCACGCACAAGAAAACAGCAATTAACACGAAAGCCCCAAAGAGGAACACGAACACCAAGCCTCGAAATTACAGAAATCAGTAGAAAGTAGAAGGAAGAGATTGAATCGATCGGGCGAAAACAAAACCTAGGGTCGAAAAGGCGCAAAATCAAGAAAACCCCAAAAAGAGAAATGCGGAATGAGATCGAAAGAAGAGACCTTTGAGAAGCTTGATGACGAGTTTCTTGGCAGGCTGGGGGGGAGTGGCTTTCTTGCGGGACAAATTGGTGGCGACGGCGCGGCTGTCGCCAATGAGAGGGGAGTCGTCGGGCTTGAGATCTTCGTCTAGGGCCATGGAGGAGGGGTCGAAATCGGGGTCATGGTGGTGGAGGCCGTTCTTGTTGGGGTCGAGTGAGCTGGGAACAGCTTGGGAATGGGATTTGGTTTTCTTCATAGGGGGGGAGATGGAGGCGGTGGAAGTGGCTGAGGAGACGACGGAGCTGGCGGTGGCGGTGGCGGTGCTAGCAGAGCGCTTGGTGGGGAGAGACATGAAAGTGATCAAGAGGGCATTGTCCAGTGGAACCACAAAGAGGAAATTGAAGATTGATTTGAGAAGACGCCCACCCCCGACCCACCACCCACGCACAACACACACACTTCCCCTTCTTCCTTCTCTTCTCTTTCTATTCTATCTCTTTTTTTTTTTCCCCTTTCCTTCTTTTGTTTTTCATTTTCTTTTCCCCAATATTACGTTTCTTTGTAAATAAAATTATTCCCAACTAAAATTATTTTTACTTTTTCTTTAGTAAAATATGTGAAATGAGATAATTCAAACTCACGACTGGTTAGTCCGATATAAGTATTTAACTCATTAAATTATCAAATAGTGAATCTCCATTTTAGATGAAGATAAAACAACACAGCAACTAAACATATTTTATGGATTTTATTATTTAACTATTAATATCTTCAAACATTATACTTTACATGTTAAAAATCCTTCGACATGAAATAAGATAGTTTGTACTTTACTACCAAAGCATAAATCTACCAAATATATTTCCACGCAAAATGTTTATTTTTCAACAAGTATAATTTATTTTTTTATATTAGAAAAAAACAAGTATAATTTTTAAATATTTAAAAGAAAAGATATAGTATTTTGAGAATTAATGGGCCTAAGGCTTAGGGAGCTTGAGACTGCAAGTGTATTTGTAGTTGGGCCAAGTAAGACACTATAGGGCCAGATCGTTGGGCCTTAGTCTCGTGTTTTCTTCCGAACAAAGTTTGGGCTTTCATCATAGATGCCCATTAACCTAAGGCTATTTGAGTACATTCGTATATAATGTAATTTACGATATTTAAATAAGGTCTACAACTTTCAAATTGTTCTATCTTGATTTTTGAACTTTTTAATAGATGCATAATGTTGTTTTTAAAAAATATGTATTAACATGATGCCATTAGATGCATAATGTTGTTTTTAAAAAATATGTATTAACATGATGTCATGAGCCTGCATTGAAGTTAGACCTCTGTTAATTTGTAGTTCTTCATTTAATCTCTCTAGTGATGGCAAAATTTCTCATTAAAAAGAAAAGAAAAAACATCGATGTTGACTAAAAATTGAAGTAAAAAAATTATTATTTTAGTTTCTGTTGGCATTTTAACACTAATCTAAAATTTAATTAAATAAAATGATGTTCTAAGCATTTTATACAAAAAAGAATAATTAAAATAGTCGAGACAACCTGTATATTTGTAGTTGGCCCAAGCAAGACGCTATTGGGCCAGATCATTGGGCCTTAGTTTCTTGAAGATGGGATTCATCGCATTTCTCATGTTTTCTACGAACAAAAGTTTGGGCTTTCACCATGGGATGCCCATCCACAGGGTTATTTTAGTACATTCGGATATTTTATAATTTATGATATTTACAATTTAAGATTTAAATCTCCTTTTAGTTCTAAAACTTTCGAGAGTGTTTAATTTTGATATTTGAACTTTAAAGAAATAATAACCTTGGGTAGTCGTTGTTATTTTGTCATTAATCTATTAATTTTTTAACCGCTGAGGAATATTATTTTTCAGAAATGTGTATTAACATGATAATACAATGGTATGAGCGCGCGTAGTGAAGCTAAGCGAATATTAAGTAAACCAATATTTAGTGATAGAATAATAGTTAAACCAAAACATTTAAAAAGTTTGAAGGAGTAATATAAATTTTAGAGAACAAAATAGTTATTTATTATTATTTTTGAAAAGTTTAGTTATAAAAATAAACAATTTGAAAAGTTTAGAAGCTAAAGTAAGATGTGATTTAAACTAATATTTAGATAACAAAAGTCGGATATTTTAAGGTGTAAGATTACAACTTTTGTTTAACAACACAACAAAACATTGAAATACTCAAACATCTAAACCATTTAAAATATTATTAATTTGATAACTACGGTAGTTTAATTTGGTTTTAAAAAAGTTTATAAACAAAACTTCCACCCACGTGTTTTTATTTATTTATTTATCTATTTTTAAAAATCTTTTTCAAAATTCAAATCCAAATTTTGAAAACTACAAAAATAATTTGTTAATTTGCAAATATTCAAAAACAGAAAATTAAAACAGTAATTAACAAAATAAACCGTTTTTAAGTACTTTTTTTTCCCTCTATTACGTTAGATTTCTACATGTTTCTTGAAAAAGGGCGACGTTGGGCAACAAGAAAAAAGGTATGAAATGATGGATGAGGATGAGAGATGATGGATCCATACACACCAAAATCTGAAAGTCCTTTTAATCCATATAACAAAACACACACATGCCATATGCTATGACCATAACTTTTAAGTTGTGGGGTACCAATATATTACACATAAAGTGATGGTCCACAATTTCCCTACCATATAAGACACATCCTCCTGCCTCTTTTTAGCCTTTAAAATTGTATGTCTGTCGAAACGTATTCTTAAATCTCACTTTTCGATGTATTCAACTTTGGAGGTCTATTTTAGTCCCATTTATTTGTGTTTCTTTCATTTTTATTGTGAGTGAAATTACCATAATCTGAAGCGATGTCAAGGAAGCGACGTGCGTCGAGCCACGTAAGTCAAATCGATTAGGCCGAATCACAAGACTAGACAATATCATATCCAGTTGAGCTGATCCACACGTCATTTGGAGGAGACTCCCTCCATAAATAAAAAGAGAGATAAGGGACAACAGGTACGAGGTATGTCCTACACAACCTTACTTTCTTGCTATTCTCAACTAAACTTTTTGTCTGCCTATTACGTTGGGTTTAATATCGCACCACTCTCAACTAAACTTTTTGCAAAATATGTTCACCTCGACTTCTTGTGTGTATGTGTTCTCATCATCAAAACTATAATCTAAAGCAAATTTGACTTTTTGACTTTCAAAATACCTCTTTTTGATATTTTGAAATTTAAAAAAACAATTATTTTTTTTTGAAACAGTAAAAGACAACTATTTTGATATGTCATTAAAATTTAAATATGTTACATTTAAAATTTTTATAGTAATGTGTGGATGGGACATGATCTACCCGAGACGCATATATTGACTAACAGTACAAATATTGGCTGGGTGAATCGATATTAGGAAGAAAAATAGTACTAAAAAGACTAAAATTGAATAAACAAAGCTTAGAACCAAACAAAATGATATCTAAACCTTGAAATTAGATATAACTAAAATTAATCATAGGGATGACAAAAATACATGCGAGAGCCGATTCCTGCGGATACCTGATCCGATCGAATTTGAGATTTTTAGATTTGACCGAAGACGGTGTCAAATTGGGGATCCCAATCGGGTTCCGAGGACGGGGGAGGTCTCCGCCTCATTCTTGATCTCCACCCGTTTAATATTTTATTAGTATTTATATTTTTATATATAATAAATTAATAATAATAATAATATATATTAATTTTTATACAACTTTTATAATTGGTTTAACCCAATGTCTCAAGTCCAATAAAGTATTAATAAATCTTTAAAAACTAATTAAAAAACAAAAAGAATTAGGTTGGGGACGGGTTTCCCATGGAGACCCTACCCTCGATCAGGAATTCTCCGTCCCGTCCCTGCCCCAAATTTTCGAGGATGGATACCGGGATGGGGCACCCGACCCCACCTCGTCCCATTGCCATCCCTAAGTAGCCCTAGTACCTTAATTATGTTTTAGGTGCCAAAATTATAAAGAAATAAGAGGGCACATCTCTCCTATTGACTTTCAGCTAATTTTCCTCTTGCATGAAGCTATGGGCAGAAGTAGTGGAGAAGCAGCAGAGTCCTACTTTGTGGTACATGATAATTAACCAAAAAAAAAAAGAAAAAAAAGGTCAGAATCTCAAGGATTTATTGAATAAAAATTTGAGACCCAAACCCCAAACCCAACAAAATCTATTGATAATTCCCGTCGTATATAATTAAACCAATGTAGTGGGATTTCCCCTTTTCCAATTTGCTTTGGTACGAAGAAAGTTGTGATGAAAATTAAAGAAGTTGGCGTGGCTGGAAAGACAACTACACTCCAAAATCCTAAACTCGAATGTAACATATAAAAAAGAAAAAAAAAAAACATTCTCAGAGGTAACATTCAATTCATTATAAGCTAAAATTCCCAAGGCAACCAAAACCCAAATCCACCACCAAAACCAAAAACCAAGAAAAGAAAAGAATTGCGGCTTTCTCCTTCTTTCTCTTAATTAATATTTCCTCTTTCCCTCTCCTCCATTTCCGTACCCTTCTCTCTCTCTCTGTGCAAATTATTGCAGGCTTATTGGCCATGTTCTTCCATACGATCTTCCTTCTCTTTGTTCTCTCTTTCTCAGGTAATTTTAATTTGTGTTCCTTTCGTCTGTTGTTTAATTAAATTGGGCATGTGATTTTGATGTTTTGTTTGTGTGTGTTTTTTAAGGATTTGGGGGTTTAAGAGAGGCTACGTCGCTGGGCATAAACTACGGCCAAATAGGCAACAATTTACCGCCACCAGACAAGGTTCTGGACATGTTAACAGCCTTGAGGATTACAAAGGCAAGAATTTACGACACAAATCCACAGGTTCTGTCCGCCTTCGCCAACTCCAAGGTTGAGCTCATCGTAACCGTCGAAAATGAA